CTCACCTAAAAAATCCAATGCGCAGGCTGGAAGGTGGAAAGACCTTCCCCGGATCTTCGTTCGCGAAGAGACTGGCCCCATTAAATACTGATTTACAATTCTTGGCAAATTCAAGAGCTCAGTACTCAGACTGAATTGAATAACCACTCAGACTGAACTGCTTTGTCTTAACATTGATTACTGCTTTCTCAGGCATTTTGTACATGCATTGGAATTCACTGGAAACCATGAGAAATGGCCATCTATTGAATGGTCACTTTGCTTTTACGTTTCCCCACCATTCTATGTTCTGTAAGAAACTAAAATACAATTTATTGGTTCAGATTAAGTTTACAAAATCATCTCTAGACAGTAAACCTATATTTATCCCTGGAAGTGTCCAAGGCCAGGTTGGACAGGGCTTGGAGCAACCTGCTCTAGTGGGAGGTTTCCCTGCCCGTAGCAGGAGGTGGAACTGGATGAGCTTTAAGGTCCCTTCCAAAACAAACCATTCTAGGATTCTCTGATTTCTTAGTAACCATCTATTTTTGTATATTTCTGCAATTCTTCGTTACTGATAAAATGAGGAGCAGAGACAGCGTCTGTTTTGAAGCCTTCAGGTATATCTGCTTTGAGTAAATACGCAGGAATAAACAAGCTTCACGGGTAAAAAAATTTGTGCTTAATTCTTATCCTATTCTAACAATTTCTTCCAGATGATGAAAGTGAGCGACTGTCAAAAGTAGAAATGGCCAAACAATTGAGAGAGCAAGTAAATGATCTTTTTAGCCAGAAATTTGGTAATTGCTTCTTACTCCACGTTTTTACATAGGTGTGGGTGTAATTAATATTGTTGATACTGAAGTTACTGAATGAGTATTCACTTACAGTGAATTATATATGTGATCATTAAAATGAACAAATTTGAGAATTGTGTATGAATGTTGTGCTTTGACTTAGAAAAGAATCTTTTGTAAGTGATATAGGTAGTTTGGTGTTTCAGAGAATAAAATCATAGGAGTCTAGATTGCTTCATAGTTTCCCTCCTGTTTGTTTCTCTGTCAACATGGATGAAGTATTTATTTTGCTGGCAGTCCATGGTTCTTCTTAGGGCTTCATAATCCCAAACTCATAATGCTTGGGAATAGAGTAATTTTAAAGATGCAACGAAACCTTTCTGCTAGGTACAGTTGTGTTTGGATTTTTTACTTTGCATTGTACAGAAATAATGACCTGAGTTCTGATCTGAAATTCCTTCACTTGTGCTATGTTGAATTCTTTTCATGGCCTCACAGGAAATGCTTTATTTTCCTTCATGTAGTATTTCCTTTTATACCCCCTTCTATACTTTTTTTAGCAAAAGCAGAATCTATGTTCTTCATATGGTGAGCAGTCAGAGTTGTGACTAATGCTCATGAATGTAATCCAGCACCTCTATTTCTAACACTGTAATGGTTTCATTGTCAAGTGAATGTTCATAATTTCAGATCTGACAGAAGGCTTGGGTTTGCATTTGTCAATCATCTGAGGACTTTTTTCTTCAGTGTAATCATAAATATTATAAGGCTTGAAAATAAGCATGACCTCTCTCACTTAGGTGAAGCCACTGGTATGAATTTTCCTGTGAAAGTTCCATACAGAAAAATCACAGCCAACCCTGGCTGTGTGGTGGTGGAGGGAATGCCTCCCGGCGTGGAGTTCAAAGCACCCAGTTATCTGGAAATCAACTCCATGAAGAAGATTTTGGAATCAGCAGAACTTATCAAGTTTACTGTTACTCGGTATGTAGTTGCTGTTGATTAGACTGTGCAGGTGCTGTGAGCACAGCCCTGTAGCTGGAATAAATTGAAATGTGAGATAATAGAAGTTGAAGTGCATCTTTAAATAGTGTGAGGCTCTTCTGGATAACAGGATGTTAAGTCAAATATAGTCCAGGTGTTTCTAGCATGAGTGAAGTCCAGAGCTTATTGGCTCTTAACAGTAAATAGTATGTTTGTATTAGTATTACTGTTAGTATTTTTAAATATTCCAGTTGTGTTAAGAATCCTGAGTTCGGGTGAATTATTTGATAATTTTTTCCCTACAAAATGAGTGTATCTACAAAATTTTATAATACAATATTGTTCAATTACAGTATAATGGAATTTCATTTATATGTGTATATTTCCATAGATGTATGTAAAACACAAATATATACAAAGTTAATTTGTATGCATGAAACAGAATAGATGAAATTTTTGAATCATACTAAGGAGGAATTGAAAATAAAAATTTATCAGTTTCTGTAACTCCTCAAATCATAGATGACTTACCAGTCTAAAAACTTCAGTTTATCTTTAAAGAGAGAAATTTTTAAAGTATATTTTAGTAGGGGGTCTGAATTCTCAACCCTTAATCATAACATGTTCTAACCAAAAGTACTTTGATGTGTGTTGTTGAATGGAGCTCTGGAGAAAAGATGACCCCTTGTTAACCAATGGTGACCAAGGGGAGGGTTTAGCTCTTCCTATGTTACTTTTCAAAACACTAGATTTGAACAACCACAGCGCCCAAGAGCTGCTATACCATCTGTTTTATGTGAGTTTGTTTTTACTTTTAGCATGACCTCTGTTACAGAAGGGGTGGGGAGGTTGCACTGGGAGGAGACCCCATGCAGTGCATCTTAGAATCAGTAATTTGTTTGGATTTTTTTCAGACCATTTCCAGGACTTGTGATTAACAATCGTAAGTATTTATGAGACACTGATGACAAATGTAGTTTTGTAACCTACCAAGATTAATTTTCTACATTGTGGCTTAGTGGTAGAGGCTCCATGGTCATTAAGGTCTCAGTATAACTGTGTCTTTCTTATTTAGATTTCCTGACTGCATATACAGTTAACTTGAGGGCATGTGGGTAAATTTTCATTTAAACAGCATAAGATCAGCGTAACTTTCATATGAAAATGCGAGAGACTGAGTTTGTATTTTTCAGCTGCAGAGTCCCAAAGAGATTAGGATCCTGACCTAGCACAGACTTACATGAGAGTGCTTACACTGTACATTTAGATCCATCACATTAGCTGTTAATAAGCAAGAACTTCACAGTAGCTGCACAACCTTGTTCCAGTGAAAAATTCTGCATTCTGCTGAAACTGTAACTTTTTAGAGAGACAAATGTACTTAGCTGAAGTGCCATGGCCAGTTTGTCAGCATATGTTGGGACTGGGGACTGGTCATTGACCGTGTGGGGTTTGGGCATTATTTGTGTCCACTAATTATGGTGAAAATTATCTGATACTGATGGATACCAAGGTGAATGAAAGGCTCTGAGCCTGCTGCTTATAGGTATGATGCTTTATTCTTCATATAAAGAGCGTGTGGAAACTTGAAAGGAAATTTTTGGTACTTGCAAGCAAAATAGGGAGCATTTTTTCTGTACCAGAATATACTGAACAGCAGCTCAATCACAACTGTTAGTAACCTGTTCATGTGACAAGTTTCAGGATTTGCAGATTCAAAGGTTGTTGCCCTTGTGTTACATGTGAACCATTTTCATTGTGAAGTTAAATGGTGATTGTGTCTAATCTTAGATCTGATGGAAGAAGCTGAAGCTGAAGCAGAAGCATCACCAACAGCAGCAGCCCCGGCATTACCAGGTGATGCAGAGTGTGAAGCATGTCCTTGCAGGAGGGATGGGTTATGGCGTTCTCCAGCTCATTGGCAGATGCCATTAATAGTCAAGTCCTGGGTATACACTGTTCATGATGAACCATATCTTTTGACTGATTGTGTGCAACAGAGACTTTTGTAGCTGTAAATATTAATAATTTATTGGGAAGAACCTCTGCTTTCTTCAAGCTTTGTCATTGGTATGTTCCTTGATTTGATTTTTGCAGAATGAGCTGAAAAGAAGGATTAGTAGGGGTGATATATAAAGCCAATTCAGTATCTGTTTATTGATGTCTTCTTAACTCAAAAGTGTGCATGTCTGAACTAGATAGATGTTCAGCCAAGTGAAGTTTGCTTGCATAACTGGCAGTGGGGTCTGGATGGAATTTCTGCCTGCTGCAGACCTGTAACCCCTGCTAGACTGTGTCTGGGACTGCACACGTATCACCTGTTTTAGTCTGAAGGGAGAACTCAGCTTTGTGCTACTAATAACTGGAGTAAATGTGGTTGAGCGACTTCATTTTGATCCAGTATAGCTTCTAAATGTTCACAGACCTTTTAAAAATGTGTATCCCAAGTTGGTGTAGTGCGGGGAAAAACATTTGTGATTGACTGAATAAACCGTTACAGGATGAAATTGGGAAACTTTCTATAAAGTTTCCCAAAAAGAGAAAACATTCTATAAACATTCTATAAACATGTTAAGAGTAAGGGACACTTGTATGATTAAAATTATTATAAAGGAAACTAATGGCTTATCTGTTTATACGTGAAGGTGTGGGAGGGAGGAAATCAGCTGCTGATGGTCTGTGAGCGTGATGTAGTCTGTCTGTCCCTAACTCAGCCACAGCGTTAAAAAGGTTAAATGGCTTTCCCAGAACCTGTTCATGTCTAAACCATGCAGAGATAATAGAAGACTCATCAGGGAATTAAAACATACTTGTCCTGTATTCTGCATTTTCCCACTCTCCCCCAATACTCAGCATCCAAGACAGTGCACATCAGGACTGATGACTCTTTTCAAGCTGTTCCAAACTGGGTGTATTCTGTGCAACTGCACGTTACATTGTGCTGTGACTTGGTGGTATGCCTGCCACAGTAAACCATTCTTTGAAGAGAAAGTGTTAGGTAGTTGAATGTAATAATTGTTTGGGATTGCTTATAATTTGCTGCAGACTTTGGAGAGTTACACAGATTTATCTCAGACAAAAAGATACAAGTCTGATTGTTAAAACAAAAATTAGTTGCTTTTTTTCAGGGAAAACTTAATTTCCCTAATCTGATTCACCTTGTTGAAACTATATTCATATTCATATTCATTTGACTGTATTTTTTTCATTTAAGAGCCAGCTGAAACAACCAGAATAGAAGTATCTCTAGGAGGTAAGTGTTCTTCTTCATTTATTATCAACAAATATTTTTAAGTAATGTTGAACAAAGTTTACTTTTTTTTTTGAAGCCAGGTCAATCAAAACCAAAAAAAATGGCTTTTTTTGGTTCCCAGAACATTTTTTCATCTATATTAATATCATGCTGCATCATGGGAAAAATACTCTGTGCAAAAGTTATTATTCAAGTAATTTTACAAAGGAATTTTATGAACTATTGTTCACGTGAGTCATGACGATGGATAGGCTCTGAGTGATTGTTCATATCTGACTGATGCATCTAATTATTCAGTGCAGCAGTCTCCACAGTTGATGCGAGTGATTGCCATCATCAGGAACTCTGAATGCCGTCATGATATAGCATGTTGAGGGCAAGGGAGGGGAATATTGTTGTTTTTCCAGAACTTAAGCTCTGAAAAACATCCAACTTTCCTATTGTCCAAGAACATACTTGAGTTGTTTTTTTTTCAGATAGAATCATAGAATCATTTAGGTCAGAAAAAGCCATATAAGAACATCAAATCCAACTGTTCCCCCAGCACTGCCAAGCCCACCACTAAACCATCTCCCCAAGTGCCACATCCACACGGCTTATAAATCTCTCCAGGGACGGTGACTCCACCACTTCCCTGGGCAGCCTGTTGGAGAGCTTGACAACCCTTTTGGCGAAGAAATGTTTCCTAGTATGTTTATATATGTGAGACTAAGAAGGCTGTAGATTTTGTATCCCCCCTGTGCTTTTGCATGTGGTCTTCAGGAATACTGAACTGACACGAGAGCTGGGATGCTGATGTCTGCTGTGTGCTCTGCTCCTCTAAATGCTGCCTTTGCAGTACCCCAGTCTGTCAAGCATGGCCCTGGATGGTTGTGCCTGCCTCTGCTGTGACTGGCACGGAGGATCTGAGGTGCTGTGGTAGTTTGCAAGGGTGTGGTCCTGAGAGGGGCTCTCTGATGTGTCCATGGCAGCTTGATGGCAACATAGCCAACAGCCCTGAGATGGAGGCTGCTGTGCCTCAGCACTTTAAGACTCTCAACTTCAGTTCATTCCCTAATCCTGCTTATGTGGCCCAAAAGAGAAAGCAGCAAACCTCAACACTCCTGTTCTTCTGCACCCTTTTCCATGGAAATTCCCTTTCCAGTCTCCATAGCTTCAGTTTCCCTGTCAAGTCACTGAACTCTGAGCCAAGCCAACATGCTCAACTGGAATGACTGTTACAAGCTCAGTTACAGGTTCACTCTGAGGGTTTTAAGTCAGTCTTTCTTGGAGTCTGGATTAACCCTGTTGCAGCAGTCAAGACAGAAAGAAGGCAAGCATTAGGGTCCCAGCAGAGCTGAGCTGAGCTTATAAGCTCTCAGTTACTGAAAGCTGGAACATCGGATGACTTAATAATGCCAAAACTCTGTGGGGTCGCCAAATTTAGATGATGAGGCAGAAAGACAGTTATTACTAAATGCTGTCATGTGGAGGAATTCTAGCTGTGGGCCTTTGAAACAATGGTGAAGAAGAGACAGACAAGTGTGGGTTTGAATTTGTCACCCAAAACTGGATTCATATCCTGTAACTAGAGAAATGTTTTTGTAAAAAGGCATATGATTCCTAAAGAACCCAAATCACTTCAGAACTAGGCTGGAAGGTATAAAATGATCATGTAGTGAAACAGCTTGGCTTTGTAGTGATGAATGATCCTCACCCTAAACCTTCCAAACAACTTCAGGGAAAAAACAATTTCCTTCCAACATTCTCTGTTTATAAAAAGAACAGAATCAGGCTCCAGGTCACATATAGAGTGCTATACAGGTACAAGATTCTTTTGAGTTACTTCCAAGCATTCCTGAAATGAAAAACCTGTAACAAAAGATGATAAATGCTTTAGTCAAGAAGATAAAATTTGAGGTTCTTTCTAAATATATCATAATGCCTTCCTGTAGGATACTGTTCTTTGAAGAAGAAAATTAGCTAGGGCCAGAATTTGTATTGGACATATTAAAATAGAAAAATGCATAAGTCTATTTCTAATTGGGAGAGGAGGAGTCCTACTAATGCCGATTTTATTTCCATTATTTAAAAACTAGTGTTCTCTAAGATCCCAGGCTGCTTTACATTGAAGTGGAAATGGTAATTTCTAGAGTCAGATAGCTGTGAATACATTTTTGTCATTAATAGTTTAAAGGGATAATTGATGCTTTTCATGCTTTCATAAAGTTTTACTTTTTAAGTACAACAATAACAAAATTGTTGGGGATGTTCCCCTTTTCTTCATTCATTACTGCTCTTTCAACAGATAATACAGAAAAAGAAGAAAATTCTCAAATAAAGCAAGAACTACACTGAATGTCGTAGACATCACCAGTACCAGGTAAAAGAATTCAGTGTTTTGTGAAGTCAGTGCCTGTCAAGGAATAGTATTCTTATATTCTGGGGGGGAGAAGAGGGATGAGGTACAATACTGAATGTCAGAAGGTGCCAGTCCTTTTCTTGTGAATTATTTTATCTGTCTCAGTTCTCACATATAAAGTGTTGGATGTTTTCACTTTCTTATCCAAATATAGTGTAAAGCACACTGTGTTCAAATTTCAGAGACAGTCAGTCCTAGGAAAATGTGGCCTAAAAATAAAAATGTGTAATGATAATTACGTACCTCGGAGGCAGAGCAACTGAAAGCTGGGGTAATTAGTGTTTATGAAGAGCTCTGGCATGGTTGTGTGAAGGAGTATTACTGTTCTTGGTAACACCCATATATTTCCAAATTCTAATTGACCAGAAAAGCTCTTCACTGTTTTTGCAGTATTGTCTGAGCTTGGGACACTCGGTAAAGCTATCAGCTGTGATGACAAACAGATCTCTTTTAGAAGTTTTCTTTCTTTTGCGTTAACTTATGAGAAGCCCAGCTTAATTTAAAATGCTGAAATGTTCAAGTCTGTCTCTTACACTATTTTTAACATCACTTATTCCTAAAAATGACATTTTTGTGGCGATGGAGAACAGTGATAGTAATGCTATCATATCACCGAGTTTAAAATGCTGACCCACATGTTTTTGAGTCTCTGTGCTTCATTCAGAGAAAATGGTAGTACTTCTTCCCATCTCAGTTTTTTCATAATACTTGAAACCAGATATTTCCCTCATAGTGTGGTATTTGATACTTCAGCAATTTGATCTGATTGGTATAAAGTTAGATGAAGCAGTGGCTGGAGAAGCCTGGAGCCTGCAGGTTTTACTCCTGGCACCATCCAACTTTTTGGAGACCAGGGACAGCCTTGGCCATGGCCCTCCATCCATGCAGCATGAACACAGCCTGGGACATGAAAGGCTGCTGGTGTCATTGGGACAATGAAATGATATGTTAGAAAGTGGCAGACACTGACAAATCAGCATCCCATTTGTCTGTGCCCTGAGCATTTCAGGCACAGTAGTGGTAGTCTTATTAAATCAGTAAAGTCTGCTTTGGGTGTATTTGTAATAAAGCTGAATGTGGCAGGAGAAAATATTCTGAAGAAAAACTTCTGATTTGTCATGGGAAGCACTGCAGTCAGTGAGACCCTCTCACTTGTCCATTAAAGGTCACAGAAATGTTGTCTGAGCAATGGCTGCATGATATGATGCTGCAGTGGTTAGGCTTTTAGATGCTTCAGGCCATCCATTGAATTTATACTTAAGTAAATATTTGTCCTTAATTCTTACAGATACCACTCACACACATTTAATCCCATATTTATTGAAAGCAATACTCAGCTTCTTCATGCTTGTGGAATCTTGGCCTAAAGAACTGAACAATGCAACACAAACTGCCCATAGTTGTAATAAGATCCAAAGCTGCAATGAAACTAACTCGCTTTTGTAATTTTTCTTACCTTGTCAGAAGCATCCGGTTCTGAGAAGAGCTTGCTGGGCCTGTCTAGAGCTGTGTAATATAACTGTATAAGAAAAGTACCTTCAATACAAACCCTTTTGTATAAGAGAAATACCTTCTATATAAACCCTTTTGTATTTTTAAATATCAATGTTTACTTTTTCAGCAGTTCTGTGAATTGACTAAAGCAAAGAATGACTGTAGATTTGGAATGGCTGCTTTTACTTTGGAATATATTTTAAGGACTAAATATGATGCAGCAATGCTGGGGAGATGATAGGGATTAAAATGATTAGGGACTTAGCTGAGGCTGTTTACATTTCCCAGTGCAGCGGAATTTCACGATACCTGAATGCATCTCAGCTTTTCTCATGAGGAAAAATTTCTGTAAAGAGTTCACTTTATTTACTATGGAAGAAAAAAAAAATCATTCATTTTCAGTTACTATTTTAATGGTTAATTGGACAATAGTGTCTGCATATTTGAACTGATTTTTCCTGTTATTCCTGTCACAATTCTTATGTTTTTCCTAAATAAAAGATAAACTGTTTCATTTGATGATTAATAATCATTAATGAAATGAACTGTGAAATGGTCAGTATTTCAGTGTTAAACCTTGTTATAGTGTCTTCCATTAATTCAAAGTAGTAGTTGCATGTTTTATCAGAGAGTATCACAAGTTTATATATGATGGGTTTGGTCCTGCAGTCCTACTGTAGGGCAGTAGTCATGTGGACCTGTGTGAGAGCTTCTCTGCTGAAGGCTGTGGGGATGCCCTTCTGTTCATCTAGAAGTAGTTATGGAAATGTGTTACAAGCTGCTCTAAGTCCTGCTATGTCAAAAGCTCAGAATATTCTGTGATTCTGTGACTACAACAATCAGTTTTAAGTCCCCTGTAGTCCTGGTTACACCCCACCTGGTGTAAGAGACTAATGTACTTTTTTTTTTTTTTTTGAAGTTTCACAAGCCATAAGAGATGTACAGTTCTGGCTGTAGGATAATCTCCAAAGATGCAGGTTATTGTAGAGTTTTCTCTAAGCCTGAGCTTAGGATGACTGCATTTTTTGCACAAATGGTAAACTTTATTCCCTGATGAAGAAACCCTGATGGTTTTCATGACTGTCCGTGCTGCATACATTTATGTATTTCACAACAAGTCCTAGCAGTATTTCTGTGGGCAGGTAGGACATGCTGCAGCATAGTTACTTCCTTCCAGCAAAGAGGTTAGGTCCTGGCATGCCTTTGAGATGGAAATCATGCTCCAGGTGGGTGAGGTGATTATATTTTCAAGGAAAATTTTGAAGCCTTAAATTCGAGTACAGTCTCTGTTCCCTGGAAGCAACGTGAAATTCAGCAGATAAATCCAGAGTGGCACATGCTCTGCCATTCTGGAGGCAACGGAGTGCCGTAGGACATACACTTGTGTTTTCACAATTGCTCCATGCAGATCTAGGTGCTCCCACTTCCATTCTGGGACCTTGTGCTGGTGATATCAGCAGGGGGCAAGGCTGGCTTGGTGCTGAGGCATTTCGAAAACACACGTCCTGTCCAACCTTCCTCCTCTCCAGTTGGTGGTGACTAATGCCAAGATGCCTTCCTGCCTCATCAGACAGCCCCTCCCAGCCCCGTGGAACAAGGCCCTTGGTGCACCTTATCTGCTAACCCAGCCTGGGGGTACTGACCACATTATAACCACTGATGTATTTGCCTGCTGATGACTCAGACAAGCTCAGTTAATGAGCCTGCAGGAACAGGTCATGATCAGGTTTCACACTTGCTGCTGGACATGTTTAGAATGGGGAAATGAGCTAATGCAGCTTTCTCTGGGTTTCAGCTGGCTTGAATTCCCCTTCTGAAAAAGCAGAAGGACAGTCCATCCCTTCTTCACTCACAGCCTGTGCAGCAAGGCTGTCTATTGCTGGGAGTTGTAAATGTTTACTCAAAATGAGGGCAAAGTATCACAGCAAAAGAACTGGGAAAATAAATAATTCCAGGATATTGCCTTGTCTAGTATATATTAGCAGAGTGGTCCTCCTGCAACTTTGTATGTAGGACCTGAAAAAAAAAATTAGGTGAAAGGGGATGCAATGGTTTTACTGGAAGGACTAGAGTCCTTATGTGATGCTGGGAGTTGGGGTGGTGGCATGCATCGCGTGTGGCCTGCTGCTGGGCATGCAGTAATGCTGATGGGTGTGTCGGCACTCAACGCTGAAGGCTCCTTTTGGTCTCAGACATTTTGAGTTACATCCAGTAGAGGTAAATTAGACTGACAAAATACCTGCACTGATATTTATACCTTCCAAATACCAATTTTATATTAAGAAATTACCTACCTCTAGTCCTAACAGCAGACTTTTAAGATGGTGACTGTTCGTGAAAATCTCACTCATTTTCAAACTAGTAATACACGAGATATTCATGTATTCATGAATATCTTCACCTCTTTAGGTGTTGAATGATAATGCCCTAAAAAGCCTTGGTTGTACTAATAAACAAACAAATAAATAAAATTGCAACAACTTACCAGACCTCTGACTAGTTTTTATTCCAGCATGAAAGGTTTGTGTTGACAAAGAAGCAGACAAGTATTTATTCCCTATGTTTTACTGGACTTTAAAAGCCTGTCCTGTGCAGTGGGCTGGCTCCTTTCTCTTCATTGGAAATTCTGGATCCAAGTAGTGTAGTATCCAGGATGTCCATGTGGAACTGGACATTTCTCGGTTACGGCCCCTTGGGTTTTCTCACGGTGTAACGACCAGTTGAAGTCCAGCTCCTCTGTGGTGCAGCTGCTGGCCATTGTTTTTCCCTTGGGAATTGAAGTTTTCCACATATAAAACTTGAACCTCTTCTGCTTTGTTTCTTTTTGTATTTGTCCTGTCAGAGATCCGCTGTCAAGGAAGAGGACAGGCTCTCATTTCTGTGATTACACAGCTGTCTGCCATCAGTGACATAAGCAGGCCTCCCTTGGCTCTGTATTGAATTAAATAAAAAATTACATTTTGAACAAAGTTTAGAGTGGCATTCCTTTCATCAGCTCTTAATTCCTAAGAGGTTTTGGTATTAGTTTTGGGTGGAGCAGTGCAGAAAAGAGGATAGTCCATTCACCTAAGAAACTCTTGATCTTCAGCACTCCATCTTTAACAGCCTTGATTGAAATCCATCCCCCGAAGTCCTGTGTGTGCTGTTCCCACTGCAAAGCAGTGGGGCCTTACTGAGAGCACTGCTACCAGCTCAGTCTGGAGGCCATGGATTTTCATCTCTCTCAAAATCAAGTCCTGCATTCAGACACTAGCCTTGCTTGCCAAAACATGAACTCAGTAAACTCATTCAGATGGGTCATGCCTCTTCTGAGAATTTTCTTCTAAAATTATGCTTCTTGACACCTATTAGTGGCAAGACAATTGGTGGAACACTGAGCATCTTATCACACTGAGTTACAGGTGGTGTCTTCCTGTGAACTAACCCATCACTGGCATTTACAATCTGTGTTTCATTTCTCACATCACAAGATAAGAAATTATGAAACAGGAAGAAACATGTGAATTGCATGGTTTCCAGTAATGTACTGTCTGTAACATAACAGAGTTTTAAATTTAGTACAAACAATTTTAATTATGAAATACGCTTCATGACAGTTTGTGGTGTTCTCCATAAGCAGCAGCTGTCTGGTGACTAACAGAGCAGAATCCAAACAGCCCTGCAGGGACCTTTTTTAATATCTGTAGTTGTATAATTTTGCTTTGCATATAGGGGAGTCCCCATGTTAAAATAATAAGCCAAATGAAAATAACCATGGTTCTGAACTCCACAGATGCAAAGCACCACACCCAAGGGCCAGAGGAAAGTTATAGTTAGTATTTGATGTTTTTAATGCAGAGCAAGCTTTTGTCTTTACAGCTAAGGAGGGCACTGGGCTGATCCTGTGGCAGGGCTGGTCAGTGGGAGAGGCCGTCAGCTCCACCATGGTTTGGGGCTGTTGCCTGCCAGGATCAGGCAAAAGGGGTGCTGCCTCATTGACCAAAACATCTCTGCTCCCGGCTGAGAGTGGGGGTGGTTTTGCTTGATGCTCAGCTCACGGTAACATGCTGGCCTGCCAGGGACAAGAGCTGCACCCAGGCATGGGCTCTCGCAGGAGATGGAGCACCGGGAGTCAGGGATGGGGCTGAGGGCTCACGGTTGGCTGGAGTTGGGCTCCTCTGAGCATCCTGTGAAGAGCAGGTCCTGCCTCTGTCACCTTGCACTGGTGCTTGTTGTAATCCAGGGTGCCCTTGGTGGGAACAAAAGTACTCCTGGGTGCACCTTTGCCTGCAAGCAGTGTAGGATTGACCCATGCAGATCTCACATCCATTCAGGTCTTTCTGCTCAGGGCTGGGGAGGGAGAACGAGGAGGTGGATGCTGATTATGTGCTGGCATATCAGAGTGGCTTAGCAAGGGACTCTTCTGCTCTCCCAGCGGGAAGGAAGGGTCTGTTCCAGCCCACCCTGGCGTTTCCCCATGCCTGGGGACCCCTCCCTTTCAACTTTATGCTCGGCTAAGGTGAGCAGTGGTGAGCAGTGCTGGGACTGGCTCCGGTCCTCGGGGGCTGCTCAAGGCAGCCTTTTGGTAGCAGATTTTGGGGAAGCTGCAAGTAACTGAAAGGAAACGGTGACGCAAGGGCAGGAGCTCTTGCACACAGCCCGTGGCTGCCCCATCCTGCGTGGGCTCTGCCCCAGTTTCCCTACCTGCCCTTCGCAGCCGTACAGAGAACGGCGCTGCCATCCCCAGGCTCAGGGAGTGCTTTACATGTTTCGTTCAACCCTTCCAGCTCTGCTAGAGATGGGAAAGGTTCCTCTGGCTGCCATTGCCAAGGCACCTGTCTGTCCTTGACCCTCTGCTGCAGCACCCTCTGCTAACACAGGGCAGCATCAGCAGTCAGAGGAGTCACGTGGATATCGGGGCAGCCAGCGTGGCCCTCGCCCTTCGCTGTCCTCTGATTCCAGAGGTGCTTCCAGGATATCCCCGAGGCCTCCCACCCCGCCTCCTCCCTCTCCCTGGAGCCACTTGAAGGGGCTGGGCTGGGAACTCGCCATGGGAAGCACCGACTCAACGCAAATGAGGGAGGGTAAACGATTACTGGTGCGATTGCAACGAGAGTTCCGCTTCCCCAGCGCTTTAACGGCGAGCTGTGCGAGGGCAGAGGGGAGGGGACGGGAGGGAAGGGGAGGGGAGGGGACGGGAGGGAAGGGGAGGGGAGGGAGGGTGTCCAGGGACCCAGAGAGGCAGAAGCAGGGTCCGGAGCAGGACACCGCGGGCAGGAGCGGCAATGGGGGACGCCTTCATCCGTCACATCGAGCTGCTGGGCTACGAGAAAAGGTTTTTCCCCAGTCAGCACTATGTGAGTACACAGCAACCTTCTGGCAAGTGAGGAGTGAGGACTGGCGGGGATAAAAAGCCTGCCCAGCAAATTTCCTGAGATAAATGTGACCAAGGGCCTATGAACATCTTTTTTTTGAGGGGTCATGGCTGATGGCATGAGCTGGAGGCAGTCAGAGACTAAAAAATCCTAAACACACAAGATTTTGGGCACCTCCTTTGCAAGCTGTTGGTTACCCATCCGCATGTTTCTGCCCCCTTTCCATCCATGCCGAGTTCCTTAGTGCCCAGCTTGCTCGCTGACAGGGCAGAGCTATTTGCGTGGGGTGGTGGAAGGAAAACACACAGTTTATCTGAAACTGAAACATCTGTGGGGCTCCCCAGGCACAGCACAGCGTGGGGTCCCACTCACCTGCAGAGCTGCAACCTCTGCTTTGCCCTTCAGGTCTACATGTTCCTGGTGAAGTGGAATGACCTGTCCGAAAAGGTCGTCTACCGTCGCTTTACTGAGATATACGAGTTCCACGTGAGTCCTTGCGGGACAGGCACTGTCCCTTGGCCCAGCACACCAGGGCTCAGGGTGGGGAAAAGAGGAGAATAAATTCCATCTGAAATTGCCCCAAAGCAAACCTGGCTCCAAAGCTTCTGTGTCCAGTCCTTCAATTTCTTTGCCCCTTTTAAGGTGGGAGCCATCTGTGTCCCTGGGCAGGTTTCTCCCAGTACTGAAGTGTGGGATCCAGCTAGCACATCCTAGTGGCAGCAGGGCGAGCATCAAGAAAGAGGGCAAGCTGTGGGCAGGAGGGTGGATGTTACAGGGGGTTCCTCTGGTGCCATCCTCACGGCCGTGCCTGGCTCTACTTTGCAGAAAGTGCTGAAGGAGATGTTTCCCATTGAATCCGGGGACATCAACATCGAGAACCGGATCATCCCACACTTGCCAGGTGAGGGGCAAGCACCGGGGCAGGAGGGTGAAATAGAAATTGCAGCTGGTTGGGAAATTCCCTGGTGGGTCAAGCTGTTCTGGCTGCCTCCCAGGCAGGTACGTGGTCTTATCATTCCTGCCCACCAAGTTTGAAATCTAAGCCCTGGGAAGATCTGAGAAGTGGCAGCGGTTCCTCCCAACACTCAGCAGCCCCACAGACTCCTTTCTGAAGGCTGGGCATGTCCCAAAGCATCAGCTGTGACCCCTGGCTTTGGGGAGGCTGAGCTGAGCTGAGCTGCACCGAGCCCTCCTTTGGTGACACCATCACTGGGTTTAGTTTAATGGCCATGTGGCAACACAGATACTTTGTAAGCAATGCAATATGTCTTCAGTAACAGGGAATGAACTCCTGATGCAAACAGCTGACGCTTTGTCCCCAAGGAAGGTGCAGGTCAACGAAATTTTCCCTTTTATATAATTTCCTGCTTTAAAGGAGGCAGGAGAGAGCCTGAGAAAGAAGTGCAGATTGTGGTTGACGCCTCTCAAGGAAGAATAAGCATGCACTGTGCAGGGTGTCATGTTTGGGGAGGGCTCTGTTGGGGCTGGACTAACACTGACATGCTGGGCTTGTTCCCATGCACTGCCCCCACCATGCTGGGGCAGTTCAAAGTGTCCTTGTTCTGTTTGGGGAACTGAGAGCACTGGGGACTAGGCAGACTGCTGGGGGGGGGGACATGGGGGTGCCACCAACCACACACATGCAACCCCTGCTATGCAGTTCAGCATTGCTGGGGGTTGGAGCTGCCAGTAACATTTTGGAGCTCTGGGGTCAAGAGCACCATGGCCAGTGGGACAGGGGGATAAGCATAAGTGTCCTCTGGTCACAGGCCCCTGAGCCCCTCTCGGTGCCCGAGTACAGCTGCTGTATTTGTGGCCCAGAAGCTAGGTTTAGTCTGAACACCCATGTGGGAATTATGCCGAAGCTGAAATGGGGTCAAATAGGGTCTTTTCTGAGCTTGCATGAACTGTGCTCCCCTAGAGCTTCACATTATGGACACCATGGAACCATGCAGCACCTTAGGGACAAACCCACTTGTTTGCAGGGCAAAACTAATGATTCAGAGCAGCCTGCTTGGGAACATATTTAAAACAAGGCTCTCTGTCTGCCTTTTCTGAGCCCTTTTCCCTCTCCTCCAGCCCCAAAGTGGTTTGATGGGCAGCGCTCAACTGAGAACAGGCAGGGCACGCTGGCCGAGTACTGCTACGCACTGGTCAACCTGCCCCACAAGATCTCCCGGTGCCTGCACGTGGTCAGCTTCTTCAAGGTCCGTCATGACGACATGAACCCCGTCACAGACAGCCAGTGAGTCCAGCTGCCTGCTAGTTTGAGGGAAATCCTGTGTCCCTGGCCTTTGGGTGCTGGCAGTAGCCCACAGGGAGGACATAATTGCTGCTGGATAGGGGTGGTTGGCATTGAGCTGCCTTTGCTCTGACCTGTCTAGGATCAAGAAGCCTGAGGTCTTCCTCCTGCCGAAGGATTCCAAGCAAAGCCTCACTGGTAAGAGGTCTCAGAGGGGTGCAAGCAGCTGCCTCGGTAGCAGCAAAGGCCATTTGGGAGAGGGGCTATCATTCCACAGCAGATACACTCATCAAGAGCATGGTCTTTGTGCCAGAGCTTCAGCTGGGGGGAAGCCAAAGCCTCAGGAGGAATCAGTCACTGTCCTGAGATCCAGCTGGTTTGGGGAAGGAAGAGGGTGGGAAAGCACTTTGGGCTGTCCTGGGGCTGCTTCTGGCCTGCCTGAAATAGGGTGTTTCTGTGCTGGGGGCTGGGAGAGGGAACATCTCTCACTTCTCCCATGCAGACATCACAGGCCCCATTGTCCTGCAAACCTACCGAGCCATTGCTGACTATGAGAAGAGCTCCACATCTGAGATGGCTCTAAAAGCTGGGGACATGGTGGATGTCGTGGAGAAGAGCGAGAATGGTATGTCCATCCCTTGGGAGAGCCTCGAGGGCCAGCCCCCTCCCTGTCACCATTTCAGCAAGGATAAGGACTGCCCTTGCATCTTGAGTCGTAATGCATCGTGTGAATTAATGTCAGTGCACAGGCTGAAGGGTGAGGGGCAATTCTAGAAAACTCTGCAACCTCCTGGTGTGCCTCAGCCTGTGAGATTTCCTGCCCAGCAGGAACCTGATGAACTGGTCAAGCCCTCTGGTTGCACCATGTCATCAGAGACCAGCCCTAGCACTGTCCCTTCAGTCCAGGACATGTGGATGTCTGCACCTGCCCCAGCCAGGACAGACTCAGTGTCCCCATGGTGCCCCCACAGTTACTCTCTGTTGTGTCCATGGCTACTTTCCTTGCAGGCTGGTGGTTTTGCCAGTTGAAGAATAAACGGGGCTGGGTGCCTGCTGCCTATCTGGAGCCGATGGATGGTCCTGATGAATCCGAAGAGCAGGAGCCCAACTATGCAGGTAAAATGCTGGGGTGACCAGGGTGTGCATCAGTGCACAGCCTGTGCAGCACCCCACTGGATTGGCTCACTGCGAGGCTGGGCAATCAGCACTGAGCAGGATCACTGGGCAGGGAGATGCTGCTGTAGGAACTGCCAGAAGGGATAAATCTCATGATTTGGTGGCTCAGTGTCAACCTTGGGAGCTTCCAATGACCTGCAACTCAGCATTAGACGTGTTCTGGCTGACCACAGATGCCCGTCTTGAACCAGTGGCCATGCTGAGCCAGCCAGGTGAATACCGAAGTGCTGGGTTAGCAGAGGAGCACAGGTGCCTCCACGTCACCCTGACACGACAGTGGGGCCTTGTTACACGGAGCAGAGGGAGGACCCCACAGACTTGCGACGATTGCTCACCAGGCATCAGCTTCATGAGTTTCACAACTCTGCAACAGGCTCTATTAGCACAACACTTCCTTCTGCCTCATTTCATCAACTGAATTCTGAACACACTTTTCCAGCAGAGATAGTTGTGCTTCCATTGCTTGTACCCAGCAGCTTTCTTCTGGAGAGGTGATGGAGGGGCTGGGATGAGCCATGGACAGTGACAAGGCTGGGGAAAGTTTGAATCCAAACTTGAAGCATCCTGGCTCTTGCCTAAAACATAGGGCAAATGTTCTGGTGCCTCCTCTCTCCTCAGTGGCTGGGGAGGTTGAGCTCCATCCCTGGAGTGGCAGCATACGATCTGTCATCCCCATTTTGTGTGCAGGTGAGTCGTATGTGGTCCAGAAAAGCTACACAGCTGTGGAAGAGGATGAGCTGACCCTCAAGGAGGGTGATACCATCGAAGTCATCCACAAGCTCCTTGATGGCTGGTGGGTCATCAGGTGAGAGATGCCAAGAACAGGTCAGGCCAGCAGGATTCAGGCAGAGGGAAGGGATCGTTCTCCACATCAGGGCTGTGGAAGCCGTGGGCTGTTTGGTGCCACTGTCCAGCACTTCCTTTTCAGGGCTGCTTCTCAGAGTCTGTTCTTTGCCAAATACTAAGTGTCCCCTCTTCTGAGGATTTCAGAAATATCCAAGAAGGAGGCAGATGGCAAAAAACCTGTTAGTTATTTTGCCTCTAATTGGTCTGGCACATTTTGCTTTTCAAAATCTCAACTTTCATTTCATCTGCAAGGAACATTAAAGATAACCCACAGGACACCAGCAGGGGACAGGCATGAACCATGAATTATGGGATATCCTAAGCAGGAGGTGTTCAAGGCCAGGTTGGATGGGGCTTGGAGCAACCTGCTCTGATGGAAGGTGTCCCTGCCCATGGCAGTGAGTTAGAACAAGATGATCTTTAAGGTTGCTTCCAAGCCAAACCATCCTGGAATTCTTTGACCACCCACAAGGATCATCAAGTCTCTCTCCTGGACTGAGGAGGCAGTTGCAGAGCCACGATTGCAAGTGATGTTGCTTTGTGTTGCGCTGCAGGAAGGACGAAACCACGGGTTATTACCCCTCCATGTACCTGCAGAAAGCTGGAGAGGAAAACTCTGCGAAGAGTGAACTGAGGAACCGGAGTGCTCCTCCACGGAGGTAGGAGAAGCCCTGGGTGGGAGGGGAGGAGGACTAAAGCTCTTCCTTGAGCAAGATGAAATTAAACAACCGACAGTGGTGTCACCTGCTTGCCCTGTCAGTGAGGAACTGCTTCAAGAGATGTGAGCAGAGCAGACAGACCAGGCTGCAGCAAAACCAGCTCTGTGCTCATCAACTCCCAAAAGCGCCCTAGCATTGCTGGTGCCAGGCTGTGTGATCCTTGTTCCAACAGATCCTCCAGCCAAGGGCATTTCTCCTTGTTCTTCTGCAAAATTTCTTTTCTGAGCTAATCTCCTTTAATTTTCAAATTGGCCATTTTCTTATTTCCTGAGTGCATGCACTGAATCTTTAAGAGGCAAGATTTGACTAAATGGAGCTGCCAAATGGCCTAATCTGATGGGAGAATTTGAGCTAATGGAAGGGATTTTATTTTGATTACAAAGATAAAAGGCGATAGTAACTCATTAATTCTGGTGCAGAGAGAATGGCTAGGAAGGACAGAGCTTGCAGCTGTCTTTTTTTCCCTGCAAGAAAACACATCAGCCCTGCTCTAAAATCTCTCCAAATCCAGTTCTGATGGATCATGGACTGGATACAGGACCATGTAAAGTGGTCCAGATCCACCTATTTGAGTGCAGTGATGCTTGCTGATACCCTTGGGGGAGGTGAGTTGGCCTGTTCCAAGGACAGTGTCTTGACCCCCCGCCATGGTGACGCTGCCCCTGCAGTGCTGGCACTGGCAGCCAGGCTGAGTCCTGTTACGAGGGTGGTGACCTGCCACTGCAGGTAAGAGCTTTGATATGACATGGGGTGTGTTCTCAGACCAGGAAGGGCCTGAAGGTAGACGGACACATTGGCTCAAGAAGGGCAGGAGGATGGCGCCATGGGGTGGAGTTCAGGAGCCACCTCACTGCTGCCATGGCAGTGGAAGCAAAGCAGTGGCCTCCATCTGCCTGCGTGGTGATGGTCCTGATGCTGTGGGTTCTCTTGTAGCAGTATCATGCTCAGCCTTTAACATCTCTCAGTAGTTTCTCTGCCATGGGTTCAACACCACACATCCAGGTGCATGCTGACACGTGCCCCACACTCCATTGCCCTGATCTGATCCTTGGGTGCTGGGGAGCCATGCCAAACCCTACAGCAGGGACCTCAGTGTTGCAGCTAGGATAGGTGCTGTATTTCCATTCATCTGTAGATCTATAGCTTCTGAGGCTTTCCTGGCTAAACCTCATGCCCATCTCATCCTCCCAGCCTTACACCCAATCTTCCTTGCCATCCTCATCATTACCTTCCAGACTTGTGCTCAGGGTTCAGCCTTCAGTGTTTGCTTCTAAAGCACCATCCAGCTACCTCTGAATACATCGTACATCGTGTCTCACTCGTGGCTGTCCTCGAGGGCTGGCATCCACTAGGAAAAACTCAAAAGCAGAAATTGGGGTTTGAGTGAAGCAGAGGAGGAAACACAGGGAAAGAAGTGTGTGGTGTTAGAGCTGCCAGCATTAAAATGAAAGTTTTGTTTCTCACTCCCTGCAGATCCACCATCCGAAACGCAAAGAGCATCCATAAGCAGGGCCGGAAGCAGATCAGCCAGGAGACTTACAGGAGGAACAGCAAGAAGTACATCCAGAGCCGGTGGAACATGCAGGGAAATTCCCAGAACAAGGCCAGTGTCATCAGTAAGTCTCAATGAGTCTGGAATCCTGCAGGCATGGCCCGTGACCCCCAGTGCTGGCAGCTGGAGCAGGATGGCACAATGAGGTCACACCATGCCCATCTGCCTTTTTCCTATGGGGAAAGTGTGTGCAGGGAGGTGTTTCTTTCAACAAGGTTTCTTACCCCTGGCTATAGGCCAGACAGAGTGGAATATGGACCTGGAGGGAGGTCAGCCCACATCTGGGACCTGTGCTTTCCTCTGTGCACCTCACCTCCCCTGTTCTGCCATTATCAATGTACATTAGCTGTCAGCGGAGCCCCCAGAGGGAAGTGTATGAAGAATCCTGGAATCATAGAATGGTTTCAGTAGGAAGGGACCTTAGTGATTATCTCACTCCAACCCTACCTTCAAGTAGACCAGGTTGCTCCAAGACCCATTCAACCTGGTCTTTAACACTTCCAAGCATGGGACAGCCACAGCTTCTCTAAGCCCTGTGCCAGGGCCTCACTATCCTTCACAGGCAAGATTTTTTTTCCTAATATTTAATCTAACCCTTCCCTCTGTCATTGTGAAGACATTATTCCTTGTGCTGTCACTCCAGCCCCTCGTAAAAAGCCTCTCTCCATGAGAAAGGGCTGCCATTGAGGTAGACTCTTTGGATCTGAGAGTCCCCATGCAGTACCCATGACCTTCCTAAGGAAGAGCAGCTCCTTGTGCAGACCTAAAGCTGGGATTCCCCTGAGAAGAGTTCCCAGCTGGGCACAGGTGGGTTCATCCCGCCATCCGGACCTACAGGCAGCAGGGAGGAGAGGCAGAAGCTTTGGTGGCCATCACATAGGAAGCTGCTGAATGTTCATGAGGGTGGTGGGTGGTGAAGCACTCTGACCCATCTGTGCATCTGCTTTGCTCGCAGTTGAGAAAAATGAGCCACAGGAGAACAAGGCCAAGGCTCAACCTGCTGTTCCCCCCCGTCCCAGCAAAGACCTCATCTTGAACCGCTGCACTGAGAGGACCCGGAGGAAGATCCTGTGAGGATCCTCTGAGCCCCCCCACCAGACACCCACTGCTTCATCTCCTCCAGCCCCTGCCCAGCCAGGACTCGGAGCCAGAGCAAGGGTCCATGTGGTTCTGGCAACCCCCACAAGCCACAGGAGGGCTGCTGGCCAAATCTGCACAGACCAGCGCCCGCCCTCACTCTCCGTCACGGCCAGCCCAAGGGGTACTGATGGCATTGCCAGCAGGGACCAGCCCTGCTCCACCAGCTCCAAGGGGCTGAGACCTCACAACCACCAGGACCCTCATTTCTAGATCCCCTTTTATGACCTCTTTGTGTTTTGAATGATTTTGTGGTTTTCATCAATAAAGGAGAGACACTTGATAGACATCTCAGTGTCCACCTGAATCAGGCAGACCCTGAGGAGCAGGATGGGTATGGTGACAGGAAAGGTATTCTCTTTGGGGATGTTGGGCAAGAGTCTCTGGCAAAAGATGCTGGCAGGAAGGAAATGTAGTTGAGGGGGTGAAAGGACAGCAGCTTTCTCCTGGAAGGTGGCTACTTTGCTCCCTGAAGTGGAAAGTGAGGGCTAGTATATAGGGCTGCTTTTCAGAGGGACTGTGGTGTGACAGCTGGTTTTGGGTGCCACGCAGGGGTTGGTCTGGGTCTGCGTTTGGATTTGGGTTTGTGTTTGGGGTGGGATTTGGGTCTACATGTAGGTTTGGGCCTGAGCTTGGGTTTTGATCTTGGTTTGGGTCTGGGCTGGGTCTAATCCATACTAGGGTCCGTATTTAGGTCTGGGGGTATGTTTAGGTTTAGAGCTAGGTGTGGGTGTAGGTTTGGGATCGGGTTCAGGTTCGGGTCTGGGTGCTGTGGGACCCCTCCTCTGACAGGCCGGTGTCGCCCCTTTAAGAGGAGCCCGCCGGGGCAGGGCGCGCGCAGGGGCGGGGTTAAGATGGCGGCGCGCGCAGGGGCGGGGTTAAGATGGCGGCGCGCGCAGGGGCGGGGTTAAGATGGCGGTGCGCTGAGCGTGGCCATGGCGGGGGCGTTGAGGGCGCTCCGGGCGGCGCGGCCGGCGCGGCTCCTTCAGTGCAGGGGCCTGGGCGGGCCGGCGGGGCCGCCGAGCACTCGCCAGCGGCGGGAGGCCGAGGAGGCTGCCCCGGTGTTCCAGTACGCGGGGAAGGCGGCCAAGCGCAAGGACCGCGTGTTCGTGTGGGGCTTTAGCTACTCGGGCGCCTTGGGCGTCCCCAGCTTCGTGAAGCCTGACGCGGGCTGGAAGAGGCCGCGGCGTATCCAGCCCACGCCGTACCGCCTGGAGACGGAGGAGAAGGTGGGCCCGGCACGGCCAGGCCGCCGTTCCCCCCCCCTTCCCCCCCCGAGCCTGGTCAGGTCTCTGCACAGCCAGAACGGCGCTGCGGGATCGGGTCTGAGGGCTTTGCCGTGACTCACAGTGTTTTGTCGATATAGCAGTGTTACTCGGGATGATTCTTGGTATATGTGCAGTAGCGTACAGGTTGGAAAGTATATATCTGTAGTTTTATCAGAGAACCAGGGTGTGAAGAGCATTTGCCAGAGAAAACGGGCCTCGCTTCCAGTGGCTCCTCCCGCCGGACAAATAGGAAGCTTGCTTTGAAAATACTGCTCTTTTGCTTACGTTTTTCACTCGTTGTGCTTTGCTGTTCAGTGCAGAGAAGGTCAGAGCATTCATGGAATATCTTGAGCTGGAAGGAACCCACATGGATCATCGGCTCCAAGTCCTGGCCCTGCGGGAGGGCCGGACACCCGAGAGCCTCGTCCTAAAGCTCCCGGAGCTGTCCTGGGGCTGTGACCGCTGCCCTGGGGAGCCCGTTCCGTGCCCTCTTGTCACTGTTCACACAGAGGAGAGATCCGTGCTGCCCCTCACGAAGGAGCCGGAGACCCCAATGAGGTCTGACCTCATTCTCCTCCAGGCTGAACAAACCAAGTGACCACAGTTGCTCCTCACATGGCTTTTGTCCTGGGCTTTTTTTGGCAAAAGGAATAAAATGGGAATGTTATTCTTTTAATATCTCTTTGTTTGGCTGGGGTTTTTTATAATCTACTGATGCAGGTCAGCAAACAGGTTATCTTTGAATGGGGCCAAAATAATACAAAAATAAAGATGTATGCCCACAAAAACAAACAAACAAAAAAATCGGACTTGAATTTGCACCATTGTGCTTATCACAGAAGAATGTTTCTGATAATTCTGCAAAATCATACATGCCTTGAATTCGGACCATATATGGATGTAGCTTAATGAAGGATGAATGCTGATGAACAAATAGCGTGAGGTGAAATTTGCTTTTCTAAGTCACTATTGCTAACGGAATGGTGTGGGTTTTGTCTGTCTTCAAAGATATCCTCTGCTGCCTGTGGTTATGGATTCACACTGCTGGCCTCTAATACCACGGACATCACCAAAGTGTGGGGTATGGGGCTTAACAAGGATTCCCAGCTTGGATTCCAGAGGAGCAGAAGAGATAAAAGTAAGAATTGAGGTGTTTTAAAGATTTACAGGGCAGGGGAGGGGGTAAAGGGGACATTGTAGGATACCTGTGGTACAGGAGACTTCAGTTTGAAGGTGTGAAAAAATATCAGGAGGCTTTGATGCCGTGCCGGGCTGTGCTTGTTGTTTTTTGTTGGTTTTTTTTTAAGAGGTCTTTTGCTTGAACTTAAACTGCGTTTTTCTGTGCTTTGTACTTGGTCAAGGTGTGCCTCTGTTCTATACGCTGCACTTACAGAGTTTGGTTACATCCAGGCAGGAATGGAACTGTTTATTCTGGAAAACGTGGCTGTTGGTTAAGGTGTGGCTTTGAATCTGTAATTCCATAGTAGACAATGCCTAGTTAATTAATCGATTTTGGCAGCGCGGTTTGCTCACTTCTGTTGTCTGTCTACTTGTAATCTAAATTCCTTTCCCACAGAGCTCTTTTTATACAGTCATTGGTTGGTTGAGTTTTTTTTGTTTGTTTGTGAAGCTGTAGGGTTTTTTTTTAAATTATTTTAATAGCAAGTTGAATTTTAAAGGAAAAACACGTTATTCAGTCATTCAGTCTTATACCAGGCTCTCAAACCATTTAAGATGATGATTTCTGTGCAGAAAATTGACACTTTTCACCAAAGGCAGATAGGAGAAACACAAACTTTCATCATAAAATGGCTATCTCTGAAGACATTCCTTCTTAAACAATCGAGGAAAATCATGTTAAAAGCAGTTTTTATAGTGTATTAGAGTGTAATGCATCTGATATGGGCAGAATATTAAACTTTTTGGAGAAGCAAAGAAAATTGCAGCTACAGTGCAGCGTGCTGATGTTTGCAGTGATGCTGCTTTGTGCTGGCACGCTGGATAGATCCCCAGCATGTGTGCACACAGCAAGTGTGAGCTTAAACAGCAGCAGCAAAATGCAGGGGCTGGAAAAGCCTCATGACTTCTGCTTTTAAAGGTTTCAGCACTTGCTGTGTCTTCCTTCTGCATGTGCTGATGTCTCAGGTGTGTCTTATTTCTGCCAGAGAATCCAGAAATAGGTTAAATAGTTTTGCAATTCAAGCCCTGCTAAGTAAGAGGGTTTGGCAGGATCTGTTGAAAGTGGGAATTCAGCAGTGGGATTGCTGCTGCTCCTTGTTTTACTTCCCCCAGACAAGCTTTTTTTTTTGGGATGTGCTGCTCATTACTGTTTCACAAACTTACTTTGTTACCTACTGGTTCCAACGCTGTCTCTGTAGATGCTTCATTTTCAGGGGAATTTGCATCTGACTTTTAGATGGTTGTATCTGAACTACTAATATTTCACTCTCACCTTCCTCTTCCTCAGCTGCCTCATTGCCTTTATTCTCCAAAATCCCTCCGCTATCAGTGATGATTACCATGGATCCTAGTAGCCTGTGTTGCACTGCTGGAAGGAATAGAGAGAGAGGAAAAGATTTTTTTGCTTTGTGACTTCCACGTGTCTTTAGGCAGAGACTTGGCTGCCTTTCAGCTCCTGCTCTATTGCGTGGCTACCGTTCACAAACATCCTGTTGTCACATCCAGTGCCTGCCTGTCCTCGCATCCAGTAGTGTCTTACTGCAGAAGGGCACATGTAGATTTTCTAGGTTTTTTTTTAATTCTTACTTTTATTGAAGACAGTGAGAACCAGTTAAAGCACTGCTGCATGTGAGCAGAATACTTCGAGTCCTCTGGGATTTGATTTGTTACAGTGACTTTCTTTGATATTAAAGCTTTTTATCTCCCCTTAACCTTTTCCCTAGTACTAATTTATGTTTTGCTGATATTTTTTTTCTCTACCCCCCCCATTCACTGGAACTGATTACATATTCTTCAGGTTACTAAATCTTTTTCAAGTACAGCATGTCATTTTCTTTCATAAATGTTAGATCTCTTATTCCCTATGGAGCTAGCCTAGCTAGTCTTTCTTGCATTCCTTTTTTCTGAAAGAGCCTTTAATCTACTGTTCCTTAAAGCCCTAAGACTTTTTGGTTCACCTTTCCTGCCCTTTTTTTTTTTTTTTTTTTTTTTTTTTTTTTTTTTTTTTTTTTTTTTTTTTTTTTGGTGATTGTTGCTCTTGTACCTTGTTTGCAATATCCCTGTTTTCACAGAATACTTAGTTTGTGCTTGATGTTATCCAGCCTTGTTCACCAAAGTGGTTGAACATATGCCTGAAAGCCTCAGTTTTTCAATTCTGCCACCTGAAGCCTTAACTCAGCCTTTAGGTATGGTGGACCTTTGATTAGGCAGTGATATTGGCTTGAGCCCTCACCATGGCTTTTACTTTCTCTCTTTCTCTGCAATAAATTTCTGTCAACCTCTTTTATTAGTATCTTGGCTTTCTAAAATGTATCTGTTTTTGTAACAAAGCAAGAAGTGACTATGTGAATGTACAACAGAATCAGCAAATATATGCTAAATTTACTTTGTCGAAGCTACTGACTTAACATTTTTCTGTCTTCATTAAGCTAAGGGCTATGAATATGTCTTGGAACCGTCTCCAATTCCATTACCACTGGAGAAGCCACAGCAGACTCGAGTCTTGCAGGTGTCCTGTGGGAGAGCCCATTCCCTGGTCCTGACAGATAGTGAAGGAGGTATAATGTTGCTTGTGCTGGTGACAAGGGATGTCTGATTATGCTTTTATTAAAAGCTTGAAAAAAGATTGATTTCTGTCCTTTAGAACCAGACCAACCCCAGGTGGGCTGTCTGTACTATTAATGGGATACAGGCAGCTGTTGCAATCCTTTGTGGGATTGCTGCAGCAAGGGAGAAACGTGAGCTCTGCTTGGCTCAAACTGTAAATGTGTTGGGAGCTTTTTCACTCTGAAGTTTGTTTATCTTGGCCTAGGCCTGGCTGAAATGCAGCCTGTTTGTCG